GCATCAGTAGTCGAGCCACCGCATGCAATACCACTGACGACGGCGACAAAAAGAGCTCGATTTACCTAACCCTCTAATTGCGGCGTTACATCCCACGACGTCATATCGATCATAACAACAACAACATCAACGGAAAAAGCAATCGAAACCACGACGCGGACAAAGCGTACAAACAGTATTTATAATATTTTAGACATAAGGCGCACGCCGGCACTCCGTTCGGGACTCGGGAACTGACGGCTGTTGCGGAACGGTTTCTTGCGGTTCGGCGGTTCTGCGTGGCACGGCCCGGCGATTCGTAGTACCTGGGCGGCTGTGGCACGAGGACCTGTAGTCCATCGGTGGTGGCGACGGCTGCTGGCCGCTGCTGGAAAGGCCTGCGCAAGGCGCGGCGCCGCTACGGAAATGGAGCTGTTGGCCGTGGCGGCGGTGGCTGCACGCCCATCGGTTGCTGCGGCCGGCAGGGGGCCGCCCAGGTTCTGAAACCAACCGATCATGATGTATTATTACGTCGCTTCCGGTCGTATCGCGCGGTGCCGCACGTCGCGAACAATATAAAATTACACTATAACGTCTGGTGCGGATTTCGATGGCGAAATCGCGTGTAGATATCGAAAACGCGATGACGACTGCGTACAGCACGCAGACGACCGTCGCGCGTTTCGGACTCGAGTCGAATGAAAAACGACACCAAACTCTACGACGATCGGGAAATAACCAACGCGTAATTTCTTATTCTGGACGAGAGAGGTTTCCCAGGGACAGAGACACGCGCATGTCTGGACACGGCGGAATGAATCATGAAGATGCGCGACGGCGACGCCACCACCTGTCGCGTGCGCGTGTCTGGCGTCTTGGCGGCAGCGACCACGTCACGGGAAAATGCAATAGGTCTTGTGGAAGACGCGCATGTGGGAGTGGTGACCTGTGTAATAGTGTGAATCTGAGGTGAGGGCAACAATGGACCATTTTTAAACTTATTATTATTTGTCCACTGACGGTTGATCCGTTTTAATTTCGTCGATCGCCCGCCCGCCCACGACCCACGGTGGTTCCGGTCGTATCGCGCGCCGGTGCCGCCGTCGTGCGAACAATATAATAAAATTACACTATAACGCTGTCGGCGGCGGTGGATTTCGCATGGCGGAAATCGCGTAAGATATCGGAAAACGCGATGACGACTGCGTACAGCACGCAAAAGACGACCGTCGCGCGTTTCGGGATCGTTCGATGTCGAATGAAAAACGAAAAAAAACACGAAACTCTACGACGACGGGGAATTGATAATACCAACGCGTACGGTTTCTTATTCGGACGAGAGAGGCTCGTCTGTGGGACAGAGCACCGCGCACGTCTGGACACGCCGAGCGAATGAATCGATGAAATAATGCGCGACGGCGACGCGCCACCACCTGTCGCGTGCGACGGTTCGGTGTCTTGGCGGCAGCGACCACGCCACGGCAGAATATTATGTAATAGGTCTTGTGGATAGGAGTCTGCGATGTGGTGTAAGTAGTGGTGACTCGTGTAATAGTGTGAATTCCGAGGTAGGAGTGCGCAGAAGGACAGTGTGACCATTTTTTAAACTTTATTATTATTATTATTTGTTCACGATTGTTTTATATCCGTTTTTAATTTCTCGTCGATCGCCCGCCCGCCCGTACGCGCGGGCGGCCGGCCACGTCTGAGTACAGTCACGATCTCATGTTCTCATAATAGATCACGATATAGAGTACTATGTAGACGTAAAACGGCGGTTTAATAGTGTGTTTGTCTTTGAAAATAATTATTTTTCGTTCAAATACAGAAACACAATACAATAGTGTATTATAAAAATAGTAGTATTTGAATAATAAGCATGTAGGCAGGTAGGTATTTCAATAATTTCGTCGTCTGCAGACCGTCCGTAATGGATATTGACATATATTGTATCGATATGTCAGCGATATTATCTATCGGGATAATATAAACAATACATTATATATATATTAATTTTATATTAATAATGTTAAACGTTTTAAAGCATCGATTGCAACTCACACCTACATAAATCGAACGATTGAAATTTAATAATATTCTAAGTTTTCATATAGGATTTCAAATTAAAATTTGGTTCATAAATCTAGACAATGACGTATAGTTTATACATAGGTACCTAGTATAAAATATGATATCAATAAAAATAAGTCGGGCGGAACTAGCTGTATATTTATATAATTTTAACGCGATATCCTATTCGAGACGGATATAGCCACAAGCAGTCATTGTGCTGTCCATCGGGTATATGAGTATACGTATGACTGTTAATTTTCATGTATTATTACGTCCGTCATCTGTGCGAATTTTTAGGATAAACCCGATGGACGAATGCAATGGATCGAATATTGATCATTCTAGTGTCCGGACGGCCAGTGATTCAAAAATCATGCACAATACGTGCGAGTTTTTATAATTGAAATCGCTGTTGTCAATATATATATATATATATAATATATTAGTATATTACTCATACTATGTAGAGCCTTCATTTAGTACGTTCGCCAAAAATAACAAGGGCGTCGTTTGTATAACTCTTAATACTTTTTTGTGCGAGGGACATTTTAACTGATTTTATCTATTCCACGTGTGGAGTGAAGAAACAATGTATTAAACCTATTTTAAAATAATATTATAATATTAAATATCACGTATATGATTGAGATGGTTTTGCGTTATCGCGTGTCTCCGAAGGACACCAGTACGAGTATAATATCTACATAGTATCGACGTGCATGGATCTTATTCTCCAAATACCGATTCCTTGAGTTACGTATTGCCTTTTTCCACCAAAAACTAATAAAAAAAAGGTAACATTACCGTTTTTGTCAAAATAACGTTTCCGTCCAATATTATTTTGTAATAAACGTAAAAATCACGCGTGTATACTTAAATCAGAAAATGTTATTAATTAGTAATTATTCTACATAACAAACTGCGTATCACATTCGTATTTATTTAAATATTTTAAATTCACATACAAATCATTAAACAAGTATAAATAATGCAATTAAACAACAGTTTTTAAAAGATAAAAATTATCCTAGATTCATCAGTTTAATTTTAATGATTTAGACTAAGTTCCATAAAAATTTAATAATTTAGTATTATCTAATATTATTTTTTTATGGTTTATGAAAATATCTTGATGCAATTTATATAATATATCTGTGATGGAAAATTATGTCTGATTAAAATTGTACAGTCTTTGTTTTTCTAAATTTCCATGTTATATATTATAATATGTATTGCCTGAAAATTGAAAATATTGGTTTTCTGGCTTTTTTTAGTTGGAAGTGAGAATTGTACCTTTTTAGTTTTTGCATAAAAAGGGTTGTGGTAGAAATGATTATAAGTAGAGCCTGGATTTAAATGTAAAATGCATATTTTTTTGGTTGGTCTTACACTATGCGTTCCAAGTACATAATCCGTTTCATGTAACGAGGGTTTCATAGCTACAAATTTTATATTACATTTTTTTTTGCATATTTCGACGTTTTTTCATTTTTAGAGCATTTTTAGCATTATTGGGTCATTTTGTTGGTTTTTAATGCATATATGTTCAATATACTATACAAATTTAGCCAATTTAAAATATTATCTAAAAATAAATTATTCGATTTAGTTTTTATCTTATTTTATCTAAATTTATTAATGACTGTAGAGCGTCACCTGTGTCCCGTATTCGGTCAAATTACAAATATTAAGTACAATAGGCTTACTTAGAATTTAATTTTTAATATAGACGTATTTTGGTATATTTAGAATGAATAATATTTCTCCAGAACGGCCAAAATATATGCGAGTCAACATCAATAAATTTTTCAGTTTTTTTTTTAATAAAATAATAAAAAATAATTAAATCTTATTTATAAATTAAAATTTGTATAAAAAATTATGTCATTATTTAATTTTTAAAGTAATTTTTGTGGAAAAATACATTTTTTAAGGGCATTTTTGGCTATTTTTTTAGAGCATATTTGTATGGTTTAAAGTGCATTTAAATCCGGGCCCTAATTATAAGGCTACATACGAAATGCGTTCCTAATATAAAAATTGCGATTTGTAACATAATAATAATTGCGTTCCGGGTTTTCTATACTACTATACTAATTGCGTCCCGATAATATTTAAAAATTACTAGGTTTAATTACACGGACAAAAAATAGCTGTGAAGCTTTCCATTCAAAATTTAACGGTTTGTTTTATTCTACTCATTCAAATATCAACAAATTTATTGATATACTTAAAAACGCACAAAAATATACTTGCATAAAAATTCACAATAGTAGCCTAATAAAGAAAATAAGACGTGAAATATATTAAAAACAATAATTGTTAAGAAAAGAAATGATTAAATACTACGTGAACGAAATAACACGTTTTGTCCGTTTTGATTTTGTCAAAAGTCAAAACTGTATAGTTCAAATTTTTTCCGAGGTATAAATAATATAATAACAACATTATAACATATCTGGCACATTATAACTTAAATTTTTACTATTTATTCTTTTATTTTTATATTTAACGACAAAAACAATATTTTGGATGTACACAATTTATTACGAAACGATAAAAAAACAATATTTTTTACCTACCTTAAGCAATATAATATTTATTTATAACATTTAATTAATGTTGTTAATGAGTCTTAAGACTGCATTAAATGGGAAAGAAAACAATGTATTTGCATCGGACGCGATTAGTGTAGTTGTTAGATATTATCGGGACGCAATTCGTGTACTTGTTCAATATTATCGGGACGCAGTTCGCATGAAAAAGGGATCTTGGGACGCGATTCGTTTGCACCTGATTATACGAGTAGTATCATTTAGACGGTAATAGGTAACATCGATCTTGTCTCGATTTGCGATTAGTTGTGTGCCAGTCCTATATTACCATGTTGGCGTAGGTATCTTTGAAAAATGTCTAACTTTCGTGTGTATTGTAATAGTATATATAACTTTTTATATTTTCATTATTCAGATTATAAATCGACCTAATTCTATAGTTTCAAATAGAATTTAGGTAACCTTTAACTGACTATGTTATGACTCATGGTGGATTA